GTGGGCCGTCAGCTTGTTTGCCAATCTAAGTTGTATAAAAAAAAAACTAGGCACTAGTAATATGGATACTGATCCGGTATCTATTATTGGATTATTAATTAACCTCTCCATTTATAACAATCACTTCTCCCCCCCCCCCGTTATAAAATATTATATAAATACAATATTTTGGATGAAGAAGGACACAGGCTACATTTTTCATGCCTGTTGCATGTCTTTTGTAATATTACCATATCACCTTATTGTACCATATTTTAAGCAATAAACTTCATTTATTCATTCACTTAATTATTTATTCACTCTTTTTTTTTTTATACCACTGAGGTGGAAAACAAGCATACGACCTACCTGATGGTAAGCGGTTACCGTAGCCTATGAACGCCTGCAGTACCAGAGGTACTACGCGCGCGTTGCCGACCCTGAAGAAACCTCTTTACCCCCCTTTTGAAGAACCCCATGCTGTAGTCTCTTGGGAAAACCGCGGCAGGGAGCTCATTCCATAACCTGAGTGTTCGTGGGATAAAACATCTTATTATTATTCACCCTTTTATTCATTCATTCATTCATTCATGGACTCAATAATTCATTTATTTATTCATTTATTATTCATTTATTCCAATTAAGCACTTATATCTAATGATGTGAACAAAGTCGCGAGTAGAAGCTAATTACTAATATTTTAATTTAGAACGCGGAATCGCGTGTTTGCGTGTATATTTTGCTTCGCAACAAACAATTGTTCTGTAATGAAAACTGCTAACTTCGATCGTTACTAAATTAAATGGGGACCAACACTGAACTAACACCTATCTTTTGCAAAGAATCATGAAAATCGATCCCAAATCTATGGTGTAATCGCGTAATAGAAACGGAGGGAGTGAGTAGCGAAATCTACAAGTAGATGCCTTTTTACTAGCAACATAACCTACCCTCTAATCGACCTCAATATATATATATAACTAACTAAAACTCATTAATTCAGCTAATTTCCTATGAATTCCAGTAATTCCTCGCAGTATCCTTACCTATTTAGTATTTCCGAACCGATACGACAACATAACCTTCAAGAAAAGAGTATATTCCTTTTTAAAAGGCCGGCAGCACAGTTGCAATGCCGTAGGTGTTGTGGGTGATCATGGGCGGCGGTAGTCACTTACCGTCAGGTGAGCTGCATGCTCATTTACCCCGTGTTGTGAAAAAAATCATTCTCTGCTGGTAGCCGGCCAACGTACACTAACAATGCTGTGACAGTTAACTGCGCTAACAGATATAAACAATACACATCATCAGCTATTATGGTAACTGTCCACCGCTGAACATAAGTCTATCCATATGGGAGCTTTACCAGCAGTTGCCATAATTTACAGGCAAGTTAGAAACCGCAGTTATATTTTGGTGATTTTTTAATTATTGGTCTCGCGATTGATCACGATCTCACCTGATGAAAAGTGACGATGTGATCTAAGATGAGGCTCTCGGGCCCACGAATAGTCTGTTTATATTTTCCATAAATTGCTGCATATTATATTTGGATGGGAAAACATAAGTAGCTATCACTACTTGCTTTTGTTTTTCCAAGGAGTTACGTGCCAAGAAGAGGAACAAGAGTTCCACTCCTTGGTCGTACGCCTGATTAAGGAATACGCAGATGTTTTAAAACAAAAACGCTGTTATCCATTCCTCAACTGTTCTCTTAGTCAACTCTTACGACACCTACAGGAAAGGAAGGGGTGGCTCATTCTTTGTCAGGACCACGTGGCGAATAATTAGGTCTTCCATGGTTATTATGTAGACCAGTATTGGCAGGGAGTTTAATTCTTTGACATTAATTACATTGAAGAATAAAACATATCATCATCATCTTCCTACCCTTATCCCAATTATTATATGTGGTCGGCGTAATATGCTTTTCCTCTTCTATTCTTTTCTATTCCCAGTCATTTCCGCATTCACTCCCATTCTGGCCATATCGTCCCTCACACAATCCATCCATGTCTTTTTAAGTCTTCCTCTGCTCTTATAGCCATCTACATTCATTCTTAATACTTTTTTTTTAAATAGGCTCCTCATTCCTGCGCATCACGTGCCCATACCAGGATAAACGGTTACTTCTTAACTTTTCTATCACTGGCGCTACTTTCATACTTCGTCTGATATAATCATTCTTAATTTTGTCCATTCTTGTCACTCCGCACATCCATCTCAACATCCGCATCTCAGCTACATGCAATCGCTTTTCGTCCGTCACCTTTACTGAATAAAATATTATATATTTAAATAATATCAAATAAACAATAATAAACCAGTACATGAACAACTAGGAATACCTAAAGAAATACCAGAAAGTCTGTGTCGATTAGAAAAGTTTTAATTCGACAATATTTATAGGAGTTGGTAACCTTTATATCTTCTTCGAGGTATTAGATAATCAAAGGGTACTCCACAGGCGCCCTTTCGCAAAATAATGTTCATCTCGCTCAAGAGAATAAATATTTGAAAAGTTGCTCAAATATTTACTTTGTTGTGGGTATTATATCGGTGTTCTGAGCCACGATTGAACTTGGATTTTATTTAAACAGCCTTCTTTTCATAATAGACGACAGGAATCTTCAATATAATAATTTATTAATGTAAAAATGGGTTTGTTTGTTTATCACCTGTTATGAATTAACGACTTGACCAATTACAACGTAGTTTGGTATACAGATGTCATCATTGAATCATCATCATCAGCCTTTAACTGACCACTGCTGAACATAAGCTTCTCCCTTGAGAGATTTTGCGAGTAGTTGCCACGCTTGGCAGATAGATTGGCAAGGGCAGTAAGGGGTTGGGGCGGAAAGGGATTGTATAGGAATAAAAATTAAACTTTTATCCTGGTCAGTGAATACAACGCGGTCACAGGGTACAGTGGAATAACACCTGAGTCCTTTCAGGTGTTACTCTGTACCTTGTAAATTCATGCCCTTCAAACCGAAACACAGCCATGCAAACACAACTGCTTCACGGTAGAAACACGAATGGGACAGAGGTGACCAAGCAAACGACTTTTGTACAATTTCCCTTTGGTGCATTTAATTATTTTTATTTAAACACATGTTTTACATTTTGATAAAATGTCTGTGAGTTCAATCGATAAGTAAAAAAAATTAATGAGAAAAAAAAAACGGTTTATAACTGACGGAGTTATGAGGTAAAGAAACATAAAAAAGATAAAGCCGAATTGAGTACCTCCTTCTATCTGAAATCGGTTAAAAAAAATCGAATAAAAATATGATTTGCCATTTAAGGTAGGCACTATTAGAAATTCCAAAGACATCGAAATGAAATAAACAAAATAGGTACCTATGTGAACGCACAATAAGTGTCAATTTTCTTCACGCTATCCGTCACTCAATGTTGCCAACAATGCGAGTGAACTCGACTTTGTGTTTGCCCGATATTAGATATTTGATTTCTGCCATTCGATTTTGTATGAAGTTTCCTGTATCGATTAAATCTTTCTCGAATTCAGTGGCGTTTTTGGATTTTCAATTTCTTATTAAAATTTCTCTTTTCGTATTTTAATATAAATAATAATAATAAGACATAATAATTGAAAGCGACTTTAACCAGTGCATGTTTTTTTTTTTCGATGGGTGAAAATGGTATGGTAACCCCGCCTGCGCTAACGGGATACGCTGGCGGAGCAACAGTGAAGGGTGATAGATGAGAATGAAAACAGGCTAGTTAGCCCATCATGATGAATTCGTTAGGTTTCCAGGGAGAACCGCGAGGAGGTCGACCTGATTGGATATATTGCTAGCAATGGGATTCTCAGTCTCCATTACTAACAATCCCTTTCCCCCCAACCAGTGCATGTTGCCAGTGATGACTTATGGTACTGAAACATGGTCTTACATGATTTTCCGTATGTAAAAGCTACAAGTTACACAGCAGGCTATAGAGATGGCTATGCTTGGAGTATTTTTATACTCCAAGTATCATTGCGTGATAAAATCCGAAACAAGGAAATCCGCAAAAGAACCAAAATAACCGACATAGCCCGAAGGATAAGCAAGCTGAAGTGGCAATGGACTGGTCACATAGCTAGAAGAAAGGATCTTTAGTGGCGACCGCGTATGGGCAAACGCATTGTAGGACGACCCTCCACTAGGTGAAGTGACGACATGAAATGCGTTGTAGGGAGTCAGTGGATGCAGGTGGCTCGGGAACGTTCTTTATGGCAGCCTATGGGGGAGGCCTATGTCCAGCAGTGGACGGATAGTGGCTGAAATGATGATGATAATATATCTATATTTTCAATCATAATGGTATTTCAGTTTTACATTTTACAAGATAGAAAATACATAGTATGCCATTGGGAGTGGACAAAATCCGTACTAGGACAAACTATGTTACGGTATTCTGGCCCCCACATTCGGTACTTGGCTACACAAAGAACAGGTTTATTAAGACTGTGACGCACAGAAAAACTGACTTCAATTCTGGCAAAACCAGTTATTTTGATTTAAAAACTAAACTTTACCACAGGGAGGCTTCGTACAAAAGCGTCTTCGTTTGCTTGGATACCTCTGTCCCATTAGTGTTTCAACCGTAAAACAGTTGTTTGCATGGCTGTGTTTCGGTTTGAAAGATGGGATACGGCGTGAATTTACAGGGTACAGAGGAATAACACCTGAGTCCTCAGGGATGGCAACGGGCGTAACAGTATACTCTGTTATGTCCATGGTACTGCTCATGTCTATAGGCGACAGTTACCACTTTCCATCAGGTGGGCCGTCAGCTTGTTTGCCATTCTAAGTTGTATATAAAAAAAGAAAGAAAAAGATCGAATTTTTCAAAGTCGATTTAAAATATAAAACAATTTGGTTAAAACGATTTTTAACCGACTACCAAACCGTAAATAAATTTCAGTTATCCCTCTTATTAATACAGATCTAAATATCATTTGACATTATTATATTAATTAATAAAGTAGATAAATTTTATCAATGGATGATAAAGTTTCGCCCGAAGCGAACACCGTTTAGTTAATTAAACTAATACTTTATTGATCGCGTGACGGTCTCATGATGCGGACATATATCATTGGTTTTATGGTTCTGTTCGGTGGCGTATACGCCAAACATGAACTTTATGATGGGTAAGTCCATTTGTCAATACTTCCCTCCCACCGCTGTGAACGCTTCTTTACTTTAATTTCTGTTGACTGTAATAAATTATGTATTTATTATATTTGCATTATATGAGTAATGAAAGGTAAAATAATGTAGAATATATGTAAATTTATAATATTGTTAAAAATATATATAATAATATAGTAAACCTTTTTCGTTTAAAATTACCTATTTATTTCTAGCAATATAAATTTATTGCATTTCATTTATTTCATTTCCTGACAAAAAGTAACTTTACGGTATAATTTAATTGATAAAAAATCAAAACAAAATTTAAACTCGCTTTCAGTATACACATGTATAACTTATATATATTTATTTCACTTTAAAATAAAGATACACAGCGATTGGTTTAAAAGCTTGTTAACAATAATGATTGTTCGCAAGATAATTATTTAGTATAGACATACAATATAGTCAAATCTATATTTCTTGTGATTCTAATATTGATCTTTTTAATATAAAGACATCGAGTTTAAGGAAATTTATGAATACAATATTCTTTGGAGATGAATCCAATTTAATAAGACCACTCAATGATATTTCGAGCCAGTATTCACAACTAGACGTATTGGGGGAGAAGAGATTATTAGTAATGGGGATTAGTAACCCCATTGCCAGCAATATACCCTGTCAACTCGACCTCCTCGAGGAAACCGTGACTGATTTATTGTTAGATTCGTCACGGTGGCCTAATTGAAATACTTCATCCTCACCTATCACCCCTCACTGGTGCCCCGACAGTGTATACCGATAGCGCAGACGGGGCTACCATTCCATTATCATCCATAAATGAAACTAGACTTTTTATATGGATGATACTGGACAGAGGCCTCCAACTATTGCGGGGTAGGGGGAGGATTTGCCAAGAGAAGTTGTCAAGCTTAACAGGCGGATTGCCAGCTACAGTTAGGCTATGGTGATGTTTTAAAAGGGCTGCTATTGCTCATTTCTCGACCAGTTTACTGAATGTATTTTTTTTATACAACTTAGAATGACAAACAAGTTGACGGCCCACCTGATGGAAAGTGGTAACCGTCGCCTATAGACATGAGCAGTACCATGGACATAACAGAGTATACTGTTTCGCCCATGATACCCCCATGCGTTACCATTCCTGAGGACTCAGGTGTTATTCCTCTGTACCCTGTAAATTCACGCCATATCCCACCCTTCAAACCGAAACACAGCCATGCAAACACAGCTGCTTTACGGTTGAAACACGAATAGGACAGAGGTAGCCAAGCAATCGACTTCCTGAAGTTAGTTGCAGGTTATTTCTGTAACTGTAAAGTTAAATAAATTTTAACTTACAGGCACATACTGTACGAAATAACCGTACAGCATGCGGACCAAGTGCAATTTGTGAGCCGACTGGAGACCTTATTGCATGTGGACGTCTTCTCTTACGCCGTCCCAGGAAGACCAGGTCACGTCCTGGTATCGAAAGACAATCGAGAGCTGTTCGAAAATGAACTCTCCGCAGCTGGAATAGAATACAAAATTGTCGTGGAAAACATTAAAGAGTGAGTACCTATAACATTTGTTATGTGTAACTTTTATGTTTAAATTTATTGTTTGATTACCGAAAAGAGTATATCTCTTTTCGGTCATCAAACAATAAATCATCAATAGGTCATCGATTCGCCTACAATCTGTGTCATTTAGTGTGAACATGAAATTTATCAAAATCAGGTCAGCAGTTTAGTTTTTAGATCAAAATGATTGGTTTTGTAACAATTAAAGATGTTTTATTTTAAAATTTAGCATATAGCATTATTTACGAATCGATTCATGCTGTCAAAAAGGGGTGCTTAAAAAGGGGGTAAAGAGGTTTCTTCAGGGTCGACAACGCACGCGTAATACCTCTGGTATTGCAGGTGTTCATAGGCTACGGTAACCACTTACCATCAGGTGGGCCGTATGCTTGTTTGCCGCCTCAGTGGTATAAAAAAAGTCAGATCTGCGAAACATAGCTAGTATTTTAATATTTTCCTATTTCTTTACACGAGTAAACGGACCGTTCTAAATTTATAACACTAATATTATTGTTTTATATATAGTTTATATTATAACTTCTATCCCAGAAATATTTTCCCTTTATTCAACAATTTTATAAATATTCCCTTTGTAATGGGTGATAATAGAATGGTAACCCCGCACGCGCTATTGGTATACGCTGGCGGGGTACCAGTGAGAGGTGACAGGTGACGATTAAGCAAGTCAATTAGCCCATCGTCACGAATTGAACACGATGGTTTCTAGGGGACACCACGTGGAAGTCGACCTAATAGGGTATATTGCTAGCAATGGGGCTGTCAAACTCCATTGATAACAATCCCTTCCCCCCTCCCCACAATTATTCCCTTATATTAGTATAGTCCGCTTGTTTATTCCAACGATATATTTGATAAAGACTTCACAAGTAAAAAAAAAAGAAAGTTTTGCGAAACCAATCTAAAAATAAACTCAAATATAACAAACTAACAAATCCAGACACTAAACACTTCATTAAAAGAAAACGATACACTCGAATGTGTTCGCCGATTGAAACGTCATGAATAACCTTGCCAGATGCGATTTCTGATTTCTCCCCAAAATTTCGAGATTTTTATTCTTCTTTACTTATCTATTTAAAGGAACACCAACAGCGTATTGCATTATAACACATACAATATAACAAACATGAAATACAATACAATATTAATGCACACGCCTATTAAAGGTATTCACAGCGTTTGCTTTAACCTAATTAAACAGTATGAAATGAAGTTAACAATTTTAAGGAATTAAATAATACTAGACTATCTACAAATATTTTAAAAGTTACGTTATTACTTGTGGAAATATACATGTAACCTGAGTTGTGAGTAATATCAGTAAATACGATTATAAGTGAATTAAATTGGCAAGTCTTCTTCTTTAAGTTCTCTGCAATCGGCTTCTTTACAACAGCCACAATTAGTGTCTTTGAGTGAATATTAATATCATGAGGGGCAGTCCATTGACAGCTCTTTAACAATGACTTTGTGAAGCTCTTCAAGCTCTACTATCCAAGTTCAATACAATCCATCGCCTCAGACTTGTAGATTGTTGAGCTGTTTAATACTTCAGTTAATTTGTAAGGCGCTATTAATATTTTACGAACTAATATGATTTTCTTCGCTTTTACCCAATTACAAAATTGTGTCTGTTTTAACCAAGTAACCGCTGCACACGCCTGGAAACCTTTGTAGTTAATTCTTGTGGTATTTATCATGATGGGCTAAATGACCTACTTTTATTTTCACCTATCATATACCGATAGCAAGGACAGGTTGCCATTCCATTTTAAGCTATAAAAAATACTCAAATTTCTTCATATCTATTTTAATATCCTACCAACGATTTTATTACATTTCAATACCGAAATTTCACTAACCCAAAATATTTCTACCTGAAATTGTGTAAAAAATTACCCAATCTGGCAAACCTGGACATGAACTTTAACTGACATTGAAACCCTTGGCTTAAATTGGATAAAACATAAATCACTCGTCTGGTAGATATAAAAACAAAAATCAAATGTCGAATGTTTATAAGCGCCTCAATTCAGAACGGCTATCTATTTCACTATTTCTTTTTGTATATTTGTAATCCTCACGAGCGAGGTTTGCAGGACATAGTGACGAAGAGAGACGCTGCTGCCCATTCCTCGACTAATAAGTTTCCTTAGTCGCCTCTTACGACACCCACGGTAAAAAAAGAGGTGGCTAATTCATTACCAGGATCACACCACGACATTACTCATGCCATTTAAAACCTATTGACCAGAGTTACCTGAATTTAACTTATATGCAGCTAGAATAGAAAACGTATACTGTTTTATTTTATGCAACTTAGAATGGCAAACAAGCTGATGGCTGACCTGATAGAAAATGGTAATAGACAAGTACATATATAGCATAGCAATCCCATATGTAGCAGTACGGTTGTATGTACAGTATGTGAGATTCTAGAATGAGCTCCCTGCCGAGGTTTTCCCAAGAGACTACAGCATGGGGTTCTTCAAAAGGGGGGTAAAGAGGTTTCTTCAGGGTCGGCAAGGCACGCGTAATACCTCTGGTATTGCAGGTGTCCATAGGCTACGGTAACCACTTACCATCAGGTGGGCCGTATGCTTGTTTGCCACCCCAGTGGTATAAAAAAAAAGCACCATGGGTATAACGAAAGTATACTGTGTCGCCAATGATACTCCCCAAGCGTCGCCATTCCTGAGGACTCAAGTGTTATTCCTCTGTACCCAGTAAATTCACTGCCATATCTTAACCCTTCAAACCGAAACACAGCCACACAAACACAACTGTTTGCGGTAGAAACATGAATAGGACAGAGGTGTCCAAGCAAACGACTTTTATACAAAGTCTCCCTCTAGTAATAATCGAAATAGGTTGTTTGTAATAATCAAAAACATTTATATTTTTCAGCATGTTGGACTTAGAAGATAAGTTATTGCAAGAAGCAGTTAGCAAAAGTAGCAACAGAACTAGAAACGGCGGTCTGTCGTTTGATAGAATTTACACATATGCAGAGGTAAGGCTAACGGATCATCTAATTTCGTCATAGTCGTAGAATACTGACGGCTCTGATACATACGTATATAGATCCGTCAGTATTCTACGACTATGACGATTTATAATTTAATTTTCTCCCACAAATGCTCAGACTGTAGAATGAGCTTCCTGCTGAGGTTTTTCCTAGAGACCACAGTATGGGGTTCTTCAAAAAGGGTATATCATCATAGTCGTAGAATATAGACGGATCTGACAAATAAAACATATATAGATCCATCAGTATTCTACGACTATGACGATATTAAGGTTTCTTCAAGGTCAGCAATGCGCACGTGATACCCATAGTGTTGCAGGCTTCCTTAGACTACAGTGATAGTTTACCATGAGATGGGTTGTATGCTTGTTTGCCACCATTATGGTATAAATAAAAAAAAAATATTTGAGCTAGATTCTCTAAACACCTCTATCTGTTGCTTTATCCACTTTCGTGGTTTCATGCTTCCACACTAATTCCAAAAAGACTTACTTTCCTTAGTGTATTTACCAAAAGGAGACTGTATAAAAGTCGATTGCTTGGGTACCTCTGTCCCATTCGTGTCTCAACCGTAAAGCAGTTATGTCTGCATGGCTGTGTTTTGGTTTGAAGGGTGGGATATGGCGTGAATTTACTGGGTACAGAGGAATAACACCTGAGTGAGGAATGGTAACACATGGGGGGTATTATGGGCAAAACAGTATACTCCGTTATGTCTTTGGTACTGCTCATGTCTGTAGGCTACGGTTACCACTTTCCATCAGGTGGGCCGTCAGCTTGTTTTCCATTCTAAGTTGTATAAAAAAACATGCCATTCCTGAGGACTCAAATGTTATTCCTCTGTACCCTGTAAATTCACGCCATATCCCATCCTATAGAAATATTGCTATTTATTACCCACGCTAATTATATAGTTCAATGTAAATTATACCATCCCTAAAATAGCCTTAAAGAATACTCTTCGTCATCGATTTTCCGCAAAGCATTTGATTTTGGCAACACGAAAATATTTTATTCCAGAAAGTCTGCAATGTTAGATATTTTGTTAAAATTTCTTATGTATTTTTGTAGCTTTCATTCCAAATTCAATTGCTAAAAAGTATTTTAAGAAATTTTCAAAGAACCGGTAAATAACAGGTTCTATTCTAACAAGCCACAACAAAGATTTGAATGGATTAAATTCTTTCCGCATTGTACCCTCTAATCTTAGTAAAATAATAAAATTGGACTAATGTTTTTACATGAGAAATATTTAAAAAAAATCAATATCAGAAATCTTAATAAGAACAATAGAAGTCCAAAAAAATATTTTTGGAATTCATACCTGATTGTATGTTTTTTTCAGCATCACTCAAAAACTATTAGGTACATCCAACTGAATGCTGTTTTCACAATTATATTTTCTAAGGTCTAACTTAAAATTTAGTGTTTGTTGATCTCGTTGCGCCATCTAACGGTGGTGGTACTTCAAAAAACTATGCGTACGAAGTTGTAGATAAAAAAAAGAAAGGTATCTCACGTTGTTCCCACAGATCTCCTAACAAGTAAACATTGCATAAATAGAATCCCTAATCCTATTCTTTGTCGAAGAAATTTGCATAGTCATAGTAATATAAAATATTTGGTACTAGAATTTTTTAGAAAAATATCCTAGTTGAAGGACCGAAAAAAAAACATTATTTTCCTCTATATTTTTAACACGTCGTGGTAGTTTATTCATGGATTTATAAGTGGATCAACGGCTTCGTTCGTTCGTTCGTGATCGTGAGAACGGAGCAGTGCCGCATGATTTGGGTTGATAGGACGCTAATCTTACCTATTTCTACCGTGAGGGAAGTTTTTTTCTTAATGGATGATAATGGAATGGTAACCCCGCCTGCGTTATCGGTATACACTGGCGGGGCACCAGTGAAGAATGATAAGTGAAGATGAAGCAGGTCAGTTAGCCCACCCAGTTAACCCAGACAAATTTACCAATGCATTATTTACGATGGTTTTTCCAGGGGGAACCGAGAGGACGACCTGATACGATATATTGTTAGAGATAGGGTTGTTATTCCCATTACTAACTATCCCTTTCCCCCTACCGTAAAAGTGTTAATGCACGTACTGCTATTTTAGTTTAAATTATAAAAGAAGGGCCAAATTAAAAGTACCCGTAACCGGCGAACGTGTATGAAAAGATTGATGAATATGGAAGAAGCGAAAGAGGTTTGTTTGAACCGAAGCATTTGGCGTTCCATTGTTTCTGCCTACCCTAATGGGAGACAGGCGTGACGGATATGTATGTATGTATTATAATTCGTAACGTAATTCTACCATAAGTCATCAAATCAGCCCTTAACTGTCTATTGCTGAACATAGACCTTCTCCATAATGGAGGGGGGAGGAGATTCCAATAGTTGCCTTTTCAAGAGGGACGCTGCTGCCCATCCCTTGACTATTAAGTTACCTTAGTTGCCTCTTACGACACCCGTAAGTAAGGAAGGGTTAGCCCATTCTATGCCAGGACCGCACGATGACTATCTCTATCACAAACATTATTCTATGGTACGCTTATCAATAGAATCTATACTATAGAAACCATAACATGCTAGCACCCCAGCTCATGGAAACTCAGAGCAGTATAGTCGAGGCACTCGAGGCTCGACGTTGTTGACTTCTGTACCATGAAAGTCTTACGTAAAGAACTCTGACATAAATATAACTATATTTTGTTTAATATATAACTCAACATAATATTTACAATAACAGACTAACTGCTGACGAAAAGCTAAAGTTGAGATAAAATAAAACTGTGATAGACAGTTTCATTTTACAATTACAATGAATTTGATTTATCTAATAATTAAAATATTTTTTGTACTAAACTTTATTAGCATAAATTTACAATTGTAAAATCAACTCTTGTTGAAAAAAGCAACAGTAACAGTTTAACCAGACGGAGACTTTTTGTCATTTGTTGAAAGTCATTTGCTTGGGCACCTCTGTCCCATTCGGGTTTCGTGGGTATCATGGGCGAAACTGTATACTCTGTTATGTTCATGGTACTGCTCATGTCTATAGGCGACGGCTACTACTTTCCATCAGGTGGGCCGTCAGCTTGATTGCCATTCTAAGTTGTATAAAAAAATTGTATAATTGTAATAATCTAATATAAATTAATATTGTATAAAAATTATTGTGGGTCCTGGTAACCTTATTAAAGAATTTATTTATTTATTTTTTATTTATTCAATAAATAATTTTCTAATTTAAATGCGGGTAGAGTAAGCAGTAGGCGTAAGTATTTATTCTTACTAACTCTGTTGATTTACATTCATTTTCTTTGTCAAATATTATTCAAATCAATACAAAATGTTACAGTTTAGAAACAACTTGATTTCTTTCGTTAGATAAATAGACGTAGTTTATTTGCTTATTTATAGATTCCAAAGTTTATAAGTTTAAATCTAGCTGAAATCAAAAAACTTGGCAATTATTTGCATCAATCAATAAATTCTAAAATTTTACTTGCACGAGTATATAAACATTGTCTGTAACATGGGAGATAAAAATATGAAAAATATTGTAAATTGTTACATTATTATATTTTATTATTGTATTTATTCAACTAAATTTAATTAATTAAGCAACTTCAATAATAATAACGGTATAAACGAGCATGCGGCTTATCTGGTGGTAAGTGACTACCACAACCTATGAGCATCCGCGACACCAGAGGTATTGCAGGTATGCTGTCGGTCTTTTAAAAAGAAATATGCTCTTTTATTGAAGGCTACGATATCATATCGGTACGAAAATACTGCTTCTGAAAATTGATTTCAATAGTTAGGAATACAATTTCTATCTTATTTATTTCTCACCAGATTGCTTGGGTATCTCTGTCTCATTCGTGTTTCTACCGTGAAGCAGTTGTGTTTGCATGGCTATGTTTCGGTTTGAAGGGTGGGATATGGCGTGAATTTACTGGGTACAGAGGAATAACATCTGAGTCCTCAGAAATGGCAACGTATAGGGGGGTATCATGGGCGAAACAGTATACTCTGTTATGTCTATAGTACTCTGCTCATGTCTATAGGCGACGGTTACCACTTTCCATCAGATGGGCCGTCAGCTTGTATGCCATTCTAAGTTGTATAAAAAAAAATATTTTTACAGATTGATGCATTCCTTGACGATTTACCGAGACTGTTCCCTGGTCTCGTGACTCTAGTCAACGCTGGCAATAGTGTTGAAGGAAGACCCATAAAATACATAAGGATATCAACAACAAATTTTCAGGTAATTACTTACCCATTTTTGTGCAGTTAACATAGTTATAATATCAAATTTAATCTAAGAAATTTATCCACGAGGTATGTATTTAGGTTATCTTTAAATTATTATGCAAACTATGTAAGATAACTAGCTTTTACCTGCGATCTTATCCGCGTGACCATGATATTATTACTGACTAGCCTCACTAGACAAATGGCAAATGAATCCAATCATGGCATCGTATCCTAAGCAAGTTCACAGGTTGCAATGAAATATCGAATATTGATAATTCATGTACTCACTAGCGATAACAAAGGACTCGTGAGATTAGAAGAGAGAAAATGTTAGGACACTTAATACGACACGACGAACTTATGAACATTATAAGAAGGTAAGATAGAAGGAAGGAGATGAAGAGGAGGAGAGACCAAGGCAAGAAGGAAAAATTTGGGGTTGTTCCGTATTAAGGAGTGAAAAGTTTCGCAGAAAATTATAGTGAGCGACAAGGGCTCCACCGACAAGAGCTCAGCTCTTAAATATGAAATGAACGAAATAACTAATTTATTAAAATTCTAAGAATTAACAAACAAACTCATGTTCACATTTCTCTGCTTAAACATCTCAATGACGAATACAAAGGATCGATTCCATGATCATTGAACCAGAGGGAGACTTTGTACAAAAGTCGATTGCTTGAGTACCTCTGTCCCATTCGTGTTTCAACCGTGAAGCAATTGTGTTTGCATGGCTGTATTTCGGTTTGAAGGGTGGGATATGGCGTGAATTTACTGGGTACAGAGGAATAACACCTGAGTTCTCAGGAATGGCAACGCATGGATGGTATCATGGGCAAAACAGTATACTCTGTTATGTCCATGGTACTGCTCATGTGTATAGGCGACGGTTACCACTTTCCATCAGGTGGGCCGTCAGTTTGTTTGCCATTCTAAATTGTATAAAAAAAAATTTAAGTGGATAGGTTACAGTAACAACACCAAGGTCACAGATAATATATAAGTAAGAATAATATAATCTATGTCTGCAAATCGAAATATCAACTATTAGGTTATTGATAAATCCAATAATCGATCAGAATTACTTAATACAGTCATTCATCATTTGTATCAACATTTAATGCCAGACGAATGCAGGAATAAGTAGATAACGAATTAAAAAAGGAATTTGTTTGATAACGTGATACAGATATTTTAAGTGCATCAATGATATCTCTATTCTTTTTTTTTTATTGGATGAAAATGGAGTAGTAACACCGCCTGCGCTAATGGAATACGCTGGCGGGGCACCAGTGAAGGGTGATCGATGAGGATGAAAACAGGCCAGTTAGCCCATCATGATGAATTTATCAGGAATTAATCATGATAGTTACCAGGGGGAACCGCGAGGAGGTCGACCTGGTTGGATATATTGCTAACAATGAAATTATTAGTCTCCATTACTAACAATCCCTTTTGCCCCCGATATCTCTGTGCAACACACAAATTCGTCATCACACAAAGCACAATCTGTATTAATATTAGAGAGAGAAAAAAATTTATCATTTGCTTGTTTGTTGGTAAGGGATAAACTCAAAAACTACTTGACAGATTTTAAAAATTCTTCTACCTATAAAAAGCTACATTACAAGCGAATAATATAGGCTATATATTATTTTCGAAAATTCTAACTATCTATGCGAAACCGGGCCGGATTTATAGTCATAAATAAAATAATAATATTTCATTTCCTTTATATAGTACAGCACAGTTGTATAAACCTTAAAAAAAAAAGAAAAAAAGATGACAAAAATACTATACTAATAATAGTCAAGCATACAGTTTTCATTACAAAGAGAATTTTTTTTTTTTATAAATTTGTAAACCGATCATAAAGAAATATTTTCTTTTCATTATTTCCATGCTGATCCTACAATAATATCTATATTAATACAGTATTGATTCCATATTTATTCAAGACTAAAAACAGATAATTTTTAATTAAGAAAAATATAATAAAAATGGTATAAAACTTCATCATATCTCCGACCACACTATTCATAGTTACATGCTAGAAGAGAACATTTTTAACGATAAGGTCACCCAATACTTCCCTTATATGTACAAAGGAAGCAATGGCCAATTCTTTTTCTTATAATTTTTGTTTCTACTTAAATCTTCCTTTATAAAAGGCCGGCAGCACACCTGCAATGCCGCTGGTGTTGTGGGTGATCATGGGCGGCGGTAGTCACTTACCATCAGGTGAGCCGCAAGCTCGTTTGCCCCCTGTGTTGTAAAAAAAAAATCTCTATTGCAATTTTGAAAATATATTTCCCATTCCAGGACCCCATTAAACCTGTGATCTTTATAGAATCCCTTCTCCACGCAAGAGAATGGATCACCTTACCAATCACTTTATATGCCATCCACAAATTGGTGATAGACGTGACAGAGCAAGATTTACTGCAGGATATTGATTGGGTCATACTGCCTATTGTTAATCCCGATGGATACGTATTTTCACACGCTGAGGTATGTATGAATAATTATTTTTAAAACTTATGTTCATTTTTTATTAGGTAACCCACATATGCAATGGGAAATTAATGAACTCACTGTGTTTTTGTCGTTTCCAACAATTGTTTCGACTTCGTCCGGAAAATTCTTCGGGGAGCATTTGGCGCTTTGAGTCACAATGTCGCATGGTGTACTCTCGTATCGTCCGTAGTACTGCAATTAGGGTAAGACACTGTAACGCAAAATGCCAAATACCCTCTGAAGAAGACTTCCTAATGAATTCGAAATAATTGTCGGAAACGAAAAAACCCAGTGAGTTCATTAATTTCCCGTTCTATATGTACGTATGAGTTATCATAATAGTAATAGTTATAATTGCCACATAATCACACCAATTGTCTGAGCCTCAAACTTGAGTAGCCCTTGGTGTGAGGACCCAGGTAACAAAGATCTAGAAGCACAACAGACCTACAGACATTGCAAGAAAGTTCGTTTACTTACTTAGCCTGACTGGTGATCTAACGTAAAAACTCATTTATGCAAATCTACAAGCCCACCACGACGACACGAAAGTCGTTAATAAATTTAAAATCTCACCTATTTATATATTTTTTACCATTTATTATTATCTGTATTGAATTAGTGATCAGACAGAGTACGTATTATCTCAAGGTGAAGTTAAGAGTTTTCTAATTCTAGCAGAGGGAAACTATACAAAATTTTTTCATACAAATTCTTATAACCACAGAGTATACAGTATTGAATAATAGACACCTCTGTCCCACTCATAATATTATCTACAATCAGATATACTTACATGGCTGTACTTCGGTTTGAAAGAATATAGAAATGAAATTACAAGCTATAGAAGCTAATAGCTATGTGTATCCTAAAGAATAGTCTTAAGAGGTGTCGTAAGCAGTGATGCCGCTAGTGTTGTGGGTGATCATGGGCGGCGGTAGTCACTGACCGTCAGGTAAGCCGCATACACGTTTGCCCCCTGCGTTGTAAAAAAAAATGTATGCTCAGAATACCAAGATACTGTTCGCGTATAGGCAATGATTACCATTCCTTGTTAGGTAAACTGTTACTTTCCATTTCAAATTGTGCAAACATTTATAACTAGAGATGTATTTAAAAAGCTCGTTTAACATTTTATTTTCATTACACCTTATATAAAAATAAATAATGATGAAACCTTTATGATATTTACAGTCCAGATTTTGGCGGAAAAACCGAGCGCCAGGAGCACTATGTGCCGGCGTTGATCTGAACAGAAACTTCGATGTTAACTGGGGCACAGCATCCAGCAGTATCGCATGCATGGAGACCTATCACGGTCCAAGGCCTTTCTCCGAACCCGAGACCTCTATCATTAGGGATATCATGCTCGAACACAGAGGTCGTCTTCAGCTATTCCTTGACATCCATAGTTTTGGAAGCCTGATACTTTACGGTTATGGTAATGGAGTCTTGCCACCGAATGGCCTGATCTTACACACGGTTGGTGTTCATATGGCTACAGCTATTGATGCTGTCAAAGCAAGCTGGAATCCTAATTATACTGTAGGAAATGTAGCATTGGTTCTGTATGAAGCATCAGGAAGTGCCGGAGATTTTGGTCAAGCTGTTGGCGTACCTCTGTCGTACACATACGAACTCCCAGGCTACAGATTCGGTATCGGAGGCCTGGGATTCTTGGTCGATCCTAATTTTATCGAACAAGCTGGCATGGAGACATGGGAGGGAATTAAAGTTGGCGCGAGATATATCCGTGATAACTACAGACTTCTAAACGTTTAGATTTACGCTTCTAAAATACAGCTTACTTTAATAAATTTGTATTTATAAGCATGTCTTGAAATTTATTAGTTGTTAATATTACTGGGGAACAAGAAAATTAAACCAATTCCTTGATCCTTCGCTATGATTATAAGCTATCGTATTCTATAACTAAAATATGAAAATCTAAATGTACAATGAAGATTTGTTTTTGTTTGGCTCTGTCTAGAAATGAACTTGAGACTTTTTTTGTAGACATATTATTTCTTATTAGAAAATTCATGTTCCTAACTTCGTCAAAATTATGTATTTCTTTAGTAAAAATTATATCATGGTAAAAGTAAGTTCCTAATATGAGAATTGATAAACCTTTTATTTTATACCACGAAAATGCAAATAAGCATACAGCCCGTCTGACAGTAAACGATCACTGTAGCATAAGGACATCTGCAACACTAGGGATATCACGTGCACGTTGTCGACCATGAAAAAGTCTAACTCAGAACTGTAGTCTCTAGAGAAAACTTGGGCAGGGAGCTTATTCTGAGCCCAAACGTTCGCGAGAGATAAATCCTTTGCAACTGCGCTATACGCTACCATTTAGGTTCAAGCATGTGAGGTTGAATTGTCTGTCGATGGTAAACGGTGCGATATTAAAAGGTGGCTGCAAGGCATCATATATTAGACTTTGTTCTGCATAAAATAGAGAGTTTTACCATCAAATAAAACTTACCTATTATTCTTTCATCAATATCCGGAACCCATCTTAAGTCAAGCACCAGTCTTTCTTACCGTTAGTGAGCTTTTCCCCTTCCTCTCCGATACCTTTTATCCCCACTCTTCCGGTTCGACCCCCACAAGTGTGCACACGCCAGGTGAGAGCGTGTCATTAAATATTACCGACTTTAAGTTACTATACAAAATAAAAAAGTGTTATTGATCATATGTAGGTCGCTCAAAGAAACTGCTCTCTTTACTTACCCTCTAAGGACTAATTTTACTATTATTAAGGACAACACACAATTTATTTTTAACATACCAACCCCAACTAGATGAAATGTTGACCTTAAATGCATTGCAGGGAGTTAGTGGATGCAGATGGCTCGGGAACATTCCTTATAGCTGTCTATAGGAGAGGCTTATGATCAGCAGTAGACGGATAATGGCTGAGATGATCTTGATAATGAAAAACTGGCAACAAAATAGATATATTTTGTAACAGCAGCATTCGCATGACTCATATATTAATTGAACGAGATCAATAGTAACTTATGCTCTTGTATGTTCCAAATATTACGCGTATATCAAATTACGTGGTATATGATAGAGCCATGAAGGCGCCAGGAAGTACCAAACAAACAAACTCACTTTCACATTTATAATATAAATGAATAAATAACTTTATATGCTTGAATACAGGTTATTACATTAGAAGTATTTAACGTTACAAACAGAATCTCCATATTCAAGCGTGTAGCGTGCAAATATTTAATTTAAAACTTGTCTTTAAAATTTTACATTACAATAATCTTCAAGTGAGTAAAACATTTCTCATTAAGCCAATTGTAGAGTTTCTCATTATTTTTTGTTTGTTTCTCAGGTCTCTGTATTCTGTCGGTAATTTATTATATAACTTTAACTGCTGTATAATAACAGTTTCTGCTGTACAATGTCAATCTATGTCGTACTATAAGTGATTTCTGTGAGCCCTTTCTCCTAAATAAATACATGTCATGTTTCTCAAAATTTGTATAGTATTTTCGAACAAATTTCCACATTTCGAGTATGTTGATGCTAATGTTAGTAATTTATGTTTGACGAAAAAAAAATTATGCAATTTAAAGTTTCGAAGTTTCGTCCATGATACCTCCCCCCCCCCCAGGAAACCATTCCTGAGGACTCAGGTGTTATTCCTCTGTACCCTGTAATTTTTTTCATACAACTTATAATGGCAAACAAGCTGACAGCCCACCTGATGGAAAGTGGTAACCGTCGCTTATAGACATGAGCAGTACCATAGACATAACAGAGTATACTGTTTAGCCCATGATGACTCCCATGCGTTGCTATTCCTAAGGACTCAGGTGTTATTCCTTTGTACCCTGTAAATTCACGTCATATACCACCCTTCAAACCGAAACACAGCCATGCAAACACAACTGCTTCACGGTAGAAACACGAATGGGACAGAGGTGCCCAAGCAAACGACTATTGTACAAAGCCTCCCTAAAAATAACCACCCCTATTACACCGATAATATGAGTATCTATGTTAATCAATTATTCAATAAAAATAATAACAAACGAAATAATTACATCGTTTTATTAAATTGATGTTATCAGATTCAAACATTGTTGCCGTCTGTTAGGGTTTTATTCAGTATTCATACATATTATTGACATAATACTTGTTCAATACGAACAAAAATATTCTTATGCAAACTTTGCCAGAGGGAGACTGTACAAAAGTCGATTGCTTGGGTACCTCTGTCCCATTCGTGTTTCAACCGTGAAGCAGTTGTGTTCGCATGGCTGTGTTTCGGTTTGAAGGGTGGGATATGGTGTGAATTTACAGGGTACAGAGGAATAACACCTGAGTCCTCAGGAATGGCAACGCATGGGGGGTATCATGGGCGAAACAGTATACTCTGTTATGTCCATGGTACTGCTCATGTCTATAGGCGACGGTTACCACTTTCCATCAGGTGGGCCGTCAGCTTGTTTGCCATTCTAAGTTGTATAAACAAAAAAAAAACTTTAAGCTATGTGACCAGTCTATTGCCACTTCAGCTTGCTTATTAGCTCCATTTACTGAAACGATTTCAGTATGAACAAAAACACGATAGTGAGTCAGAAAATTCGGAATTTCATTTCATGGTAGACCCCCTGATTACAATAGTGGAACGATGAACGAATTATCACGACGAACAACGAACAAAATTTGCAAGCGTTCAAGTTATTTATTTACATTACTGCGAACCCAGCGAAATATCCAGAATGTCTGAATGAATAATTAAGTTAATAAATGTACAAACATAATTTGTCGTGAGTGATATCTATAACTTGTTATCCTTTGTTTCGTAATGATAAAATGGATCTAGTAAATTTGTAATTGTCAAGTTAATGTAATTTGTATAGATAAAAAACAATAGAGAATAGAAATGACGCAATATTTTTTTTCGAATGGGCGATAATGGAATGGTAATCCCGCCTGCACTATCAGTATACACTGGCGGGGCACCAATGAAGGATGATAGGTGAGGATGAAGCAGATCAGTTAGCCCATCGTGACGAATTCAATAATTGTTCACGATGGTTTCCAGGGGGAACCACGTGGAGTTCGACCTGATGGGGTGTATTACTAGTATTTAGACCCCCATTACTGACAATCCCTTTCCCCCAAAGACAAAATGCTTGGCCACCTTATAACGATATGACGATTTTATAAAGAACATAATAGAAGGAAAGATAGAGGACAAAAGAGGAAGAGCAAGACCGAGGAATAACTACATGGAACAGACAAAGGAAACACTAGATGTCATGTCGTATAGGGAGGTCAAAGATATGGCCTGGGATAGAGCTGGCTAGAATAGAATGTAGGAATTAGTTACACTGGCAAGAAACTCTAAAATGAAAAGAGAGTATAAGTGCTTTATATTATTCTCAATTTCGTGTATAATATAGTATATATCATATATGTGTAAGTATACTCGTATTTGTTATTCATGTATATTTATTTGTTTATATATGTAATTTTAGTATGTATGTATATCAATAATTACTAGTACCGCATTCGAGTATTCTGACAATTCCCTACGGTTGACTGGGAGAGAATCCTTTTAGCATTAAATCCGCCATGTACACATATTTGTACTAATGAATAAATAAATAAATATAGATACAAACTCATATAAAGAATAATTATTCATAGTAATTATTATAAATTGAAAAATGTATCCCGTGATTCTATCTATATGGTAATATTAATTAATCAACCAACTTCAAAAATTAAGAGGTACTCGATTCGGTTGTATTTTTTTCTTTCATATTTACGGCTGCATCAATTATAAACCGATGTGGAAAATTCTTTTTTTTTTACCTAAAAGGATATACTTACAGATTGGTCCTACAAAAATTTTATCAAAATAAATTCAGCAGTTTGATATTTAATATCAAAATAACTGGCTACATCACAATTGAAGTAAGTTTCTTTCGGAGCACAATTTTAATTATTAATTAATTAATTAATTTCGGACGTAGTCTGCTTTGTAATAATAAATTCCATTCAAATCCATTCAAGCTTTTGTATGATCGCGTATCGTATGTTCAGATGCCTTTACAAACACGAACAGCTGCAATATTAATAAGAAGATCCATTCAGAGACAACATTCTGATACATAACCGATTGAATGTTTGCTTTTTCAGTGATATCCAACATTAGATTTGGTAATATTATTCTAAGAACCATATTTCACTCAACCCATATACGGATCTGATGTATCCCTATTGAATAATAGGGTTTCGATTGGGTGAGACGCGGAGCGGGTAACGTGACGATCAGCGGTTTAGAGGGGAAATGAATTAGTAATTAAAAATAGTAGTAGTTAAAATAATTAGTAGTTAGTAATACTAGATTCAAACATATTGTGGCGCGTACAAAAGTCGATTGCTTGGGTACCTCTGTCCCATTCGTGTTTCAACCGTGAAGCAGGAATAACACCTGAGTCCTCAGGAATGGCAACGCATGGGTGAAACAGTATACTCTGTTATGTCCATGATACTGCTCATGTCTATGGGCGACGGTTACCACTCTCCATCAGGTGGGTCGTCAGCTTGTTTGCCATTTTTAAGTTGTATAAAAAAAAAGTCGTAAGTAATTAATATATCTTTATTAGTTTTGTACCCGTGACTTTCATCCGAGTGGCTGGAATTCGTTCAATGACCGGGATAAAAGTAAACTACATATGTCATTCTCCATCCCATACAAAAAGTGCATCCAAATTTCATAGTAATCGGTTTACCCGTTAAGTTAACTCTCCATTAACTCTTAATTGCTAATGAACAAACAAACT